ATTTTTAAACAACTTAGGGCAAAAGCCCGGTTTATTACAAAAAAGAGTAAAAGGGAATCTTGGTGCCAGTACATATCTACCATAACGCAAAATACCCCAGCTGCCGAACTATGGAAAAAGATCAAAAATATATCTGGGATAAATACATATTCCCCCATATTATATTTAAAAAACAATAATACCATCACAGAAGAAAACCAAGACGTTGCCAATGTCCTATGCAAAACATATAGATCGTCAGATAGTGACATATTTAGGTGCCCCAATTTCGAATACAAGCCTCGAAGAGGGTTGAAAAGTATATCGATTTTGAGTAGGAAGAAGGTATTTTCACGAGTGGCTCCTGGGGATAACATATGGAAAATTCGATTTTACTTATGTTACCCTAAAATATACTTTTCCATTCGCGACACTCAAGCCAATATGTTTTCTTGCTACCAACTTTGTAGATTTTCATCCTTCCGATGGGCTTGTGTGGAAAAATCGCCCAAAATCTCGATTTTTCCTTACAAGATTACGCCCTTATTTCAAACCTTTAGCCACCTGCAACAACCCCTTCTTTGTTTTCACGAAGCCAGGATTTATTATTTAATCCTTTGGTGAACACAGCCTGCGAGAAAATATGGGCACCAAGACGTCTTTCATTTCTGTTATGGAAAATCGAATTTTCCATACGTTATCAGGAGCCACCCGTGAAAATACCTTCATCCTACTCAAAATCGATGTACTTTTCAACCCTATACGAGGCTTGTATGCGAAAATGGGGCACCTAAATATGTCACTATCTGACAGTCTAATACGAAACTTTCTCCAGCAATTACAACTATGATCCCTAATTTCTAGAATACAAGTTAAATCTAGAAACAAACTCTCCCATCAACATACACGAACAGGAGAGCCCATCCAATCTACCCATCACGATGTGAGAGTTTGAGGAATCTCTCTCCGGTCTAAGGAACTCAAGCCCAGGCCCCAATAATATACCCGCAAGTTTTATCCAGTATCTTTCCTATCAAGTTAAAGAACTCCTCCTCCTCCTGGAATTTTCCAATCTTTCAAAATAACAAATTTCCCAAGATCTGGTCAAAAGCGATAGTAATCCCCATTTTAAAATCTGGCAAAGATAAATCAGACCCCTCGTCCTACAGACCAATTTCGCTTACATGCGTTATGTGCAAGCTTCTTGAAAAAATACTAAATAGAATACTAACCTGGTATTCGGAACAAAACCACCTTTTAGCTATGGAACAAAGCGGATTTCGACGAAAACGGTTCACAGAAGACAATCTAATTGATCTAGAAACTGAAATATTGGACGCCTTCGCCAATAACCAGAAATGCCTAGCAGTCTTCTTCGATCTAAAAAGAGCCTACGATTGCGCATGAAGATACAATATCCTAAAACAACTCGAATCCTGGAACATCCAAGGAAACATGTTAATGTTCATAAAAAACTTCCTCGAGAACAGAAGAATCCAGGTGAGAGTCAATGGGTGCATGTCAGCAGAATGGAACTCCGCAGGGGTCCGTGCTGAGTGTAACTCTGTTTTTAGCAGCAATTAACAATATTTCTAATCAAATATCCCTCCCCGTAAAGTTCCGATTATTCGCTGACGATTTGGTCCTCACAATAAAAGGGAAGAATATACAGTCTATGTGCACATTTCTCCAACAAAATATACTAAATCTGCAAAACTGGTCACTTACACATGGTTTTAAATTTTCCACAGAAAAAACAAAATGCGTCCTTTTCTCAAGAAAAAATATAGAAACAATTCCAAAATTAAGCCTTTACCAAGAAGACCTAGAATTTGTCCACAACATAAAATTTTTGGGACTTATCTTCGACAGAAAACTATCCTGGGTCCCACACATCAAGAAACTAGTCGCAGATTGCCAAAAAAAAACCTTAACTTTATGAAAATACTATCAAGCAAGTCTTGGGGCGCAAGCACTTCCTCCTTGCTGAAAATCTACCAGAGCAACCATTAGGCAAAACTTGACTACGGATGCATAGTCTATAACTCAGAAACGAAATCCACCTTATCACTTTTAGACAAGCTACACAACTCAGGAATACGCATAGCCTTGGGCGCTTTCCACACAAGCCTGATAGAAACTCTGCTTTGTGAGAGCAGTGAGCCGCCATTGGAACTCCGAAGAATGATGTTATCCATCTGTTATGCAGCAAGAATTGCCTAGTTTTCCCCCGCTCGTCATTTCACATACAGCAATGTATTTTGAAAAAGATATAAAAGAATCTACGACACCAAACCTCGAACAAAACAAGCCTTCTACGAGAGACTTAATCGGTACTGCAACAACCTGAACCTGGAATTCCCAGAGTTGGCCCCAAGTAACATTACTCTAGAAGCACCATGGACCCTTAATAAACCGAGTGTTGACATAAGCCTAATTAGATAGATACGACAAAAATAACACAAATAAAGCTGGTAATACACACACAACTACACCAAATCATGGACAAATTCCGGCATATCACAAAAATTTACACTGATGCCTCTAGAACAAATGATGGCACTGGTGCGGCTGTAGTGGCAGATACAATGAAATTCAAATACAAGCTCCATCCAATAACATCCACATATACTGGCGAACTATTTGCGATATCCCAAGCACTTAAACACTTACGTTATACAGCAAAGCCCACCACAAAAAAATATGTATTTCTCAGTGACTCCCTCAGCTCGATAAACGCAATAACCAACGTATATCCAAGTGATAATCTAGAAGCCTCAATCAAAAAGTCTCTTCTCGATATCCAGAACGATCAGAGGACTGCAGCCTTCATTTGGGTCCCATCCCATGTTGGAATTCCGGGGAATGAGACAGCCGATTTTTGTGCAAGAGAAGCAATAACCGACATATCCATCATTCAGTCAGAACTAACCCCCAGTGACTTTAAGTGCCACACGCGAAATCTCTGGTGCGCGACTTTTGGCAAGCAAAGTGGAATATCTCAAATACCAAACTGCATGAAGTAAAATCCCTAGTTATAGCACATAAAACGTGGACCGCCAGTAGACCAGTAGAAACTGTCATTACGAGACTGAGAATAGGCCACACACGTCTGACCCATGAACATCTCTTCAATAAAACGGAGCCACCGAGATGTACTACCTGTGACGAAAACAAGACTAGTGAAACACTTTCTGGTAGAGTGCATAATATTCGCTCCTCAAAGAATTAAACATCAAATTGGCAACACTTAGACAGATATATTGGAAACCAACCTGAATACAACGAATTTAATTAATTTTCTGAAAGATTGTAACTTATATAGCAAAATGTAAACACTGTATCCAGGTGCTAATAACCCTATGTGGTTGACGCACCTTAGCTCGATATTGAGGATTCTCACAAAAACCACCGTACAGTCCCCATCTATTCCCATCTGCTATGTTAAAAAAATCACTAGAAAGGAATTGGCAAGGAATCCAAAAGATTAATCCAGCAGTAGAACTCTAGTCTAAATGTTAAGAGTAGAGAGTAAGTAGGTATCTTCCAGTTACCACTTGCGTCAAAAGAATCTGGAGTACAAGTTGCCATCAGTGTGACCACACACATAATGTCAGAAACGCCGCTAGGTACTACTTAAGACACAATATTCTAAAATGAAAATCTTGTAATATATTCCTTAACGGCATCTTAAAAATTCCATCAATGCAGGTGCATCATCATCTAGCAAATCACACAAGATAATAAATTAAACAAATATGGCGGACTGACCTGTTTTGTTGTGTGTTGTATGTTGTCCGGCCATCAGGCTTTTATTTATTTACATTTTAAGAGCGACGCGGTGACCTTTCAGCATGATGATGTCCTCTGGGAGGACGACCCGACCTCCGTATATGCGTATAGTGTAAACATAAAACGGTTTAATAAGCGCTTAGACGCTTAAGCGCGCACCCACTTTCGTGATTTACGACTCGGTTTTATGATATAATGTCAGCCTTCGGGATGGATGGCTAAAATATTTTGTTACATTTTAGCTGTTTGACCGTAAATTACCTATTAACTTTTCCACAAACGTATAAATCAGAATCTAATAAATACATAAATACATAATACTTCATTTTCTTTTATCACCTACCTACTTGTTATACAGTTTACCAGAACAATGCTTTGGGTCAATCTTCATCCGCAACATGAGCAGCATTTTCAGTACCTATACCTCCAATCTCTAATTCTAATAAGATATTTCCTGATTTGAAAGTTACATTTCAACTTCTTAATTTTGTTCTGAACACTATCCATTTCTTGGCAGAAAGTTCCACCTTCTTGATGAAAACTACCAACTTCGTCAGGTAGATACTTCTTGACAAGCTTATCTTGCCCAGAATTTTCTCAATTCTGGTTTGCCCCACATTTTCGCTTGAATCTAAAACTTGGCTGAAACCGGTGTTGATCTTTTCCTTCCTGTCTTCGGGCTTCCTCATCTTGTCTTCAATCTTCCTTTTTTTTGTCTTCCATTCTGTTCTCGGTCTTCCTCTTCTTATCTTGGGTCTTTCTCGTCTTGTGTCCGTTTTAAACTCCCAACTTCGTCAGGTACTTTTTCACATACTTATCTTGCCCAGGATTTTCTCAATTCTGATTTGCCCCACATTTTCGTTTAAATCTTAAACTTGGCTGAAACCAATGTTGATCTTTTCCTTCCTGTCTTCGGGCTTCCTCATCTTGGCTTCAATCTTCCTTTTTTTGTCTTCCATTCTGTTCTCGGTCTTCCTCTTCTTGTCCTCCTTTCTATCTTGAGTCTTTCTCGTCTTGTGCTGCATATCGGTCTTATATTTTTACTTCCTAAAAGAAGTTTTCTAGTTTTTCCAATTTTTTCGAGAAAGTCATGATTTGTAAAATCTAATTGCTTTCAAGTATTTTAATTATTTGAATTATCCTTAATGATACAAATTTCACTTTATAATGAAGTGGTACCTACTTCAAAACATTATCAGACATGTTTATTAGATACATAGGTATAGGTGCTTATTAAACAATTAAATAACTATTACAATAATGATTTCTGGAATAATATTAGCAATAGGAACATGAAATTGCAAATTGATAATCTAATCATCCGACAAAAAACTTGAATAAAATAATTATCTCTGTTTCTACTTGTTTGCCAGTACCTAAGTTTTCTAATATAGGTAAGTACTATTTCAGCTTTTTTATTCTAAAAACAAGCAATAACTTATTTTAGAATTTTACTGATATACAATGGGCTACCATCTACCCATTTTCCTAATATCAGTAATCGTAACCATTGCTACAACCAATGGCTACAACCTCAGCGACTATAGGCTACCAAAATACGCAGTACCTGCTTCTAGTTATTACAATTTTGACTTACGAAATCCCGAAGAAGATACTTTCAGAGCTGAATCGTGGCATCAAGTGGTCATCCTAGGTAAAATCTACTAGAATCTATGTATATGGAAAAAACTAAATTTAAGTTACTTCTAGAACCGAACACTTATGAACTGGTGCTTAATGTGGATCCGAATTATGTAAACATGGATTCTATGCATATAGAAACGAATACTGCCACATTTATTTGTAAACTGGATGATTATAGTGCTGAAACCAAGTTAATGGCACTGGCTTGCATATATGATTTATATAATGGTAAGAAATACATTGTCCAAAAAGACCGTTTTGCTAAAATATTATTGCCTTCAAGAAAATTTCACTTTTCCGACATCCTTGGATTTCACCTATACCGCCAACTTCTCAGACGAACCATATGGACTTTACAAAAAGAAATTTAAAGTCAATGGTCACGAAAGCTATGTATTATTTACCCAATTTGAACCTACAAGCTTTAGAAGTGTATTTCCTTCATTTGACGAACCAGATTTTAAAGCTCCTATCAGTATTACCGTCGACCATTACCAGAATTTGACAATAGTCGGCAATATGGATTTCATTGAGTGAGTGAATTTATTTTCTAAATGGAAGGCCTCATGGATTTTATCATTATTGTAGTTCTCATGGTTTTCTGCAAACATCAAATATGTCCGACTACTTGGTAGCACTTGTAGCAGGACCCAACGATACTTGGACCTCGTATACATCAACAGCAAACGAAACTTATACATTTTCAGTTTTTGCTCAAAGAATTTATGAAGAATATGTTTCATTTACATTAGGTGAGTAAAGGTCATAGGTAATCTATAAAAGCGATGTATTAATAATAATTTATACAGAAAATGCACCAAAACTGATTGATCTAATGGGTAGCTGGACAAATTTACCCTACGAAACACTAGGGAATTTCAAAATGACTTTTGCTGCGCTGCCTGGTATGTCTGGTGCTATGGAAAATTGGGGACTCATTACTTACGAGTAAGAATTTTGTGTTATGGAAATTATTCTTTGACCACTAAATTAGAGAGTTAGATAAAAATTAAGCATAAACATATACATAGCTCCAGAATTTCAAAATTACTATGGGGGCTTGGGCTCCAAAAATTAACATAAGTAGAATTAATTAGACAGACAGGACTAGGCTACTAGACACATAGACTTAAATGGAACCAGTTGACAGATACCCATTTCACTGCAAAATGGCCACGCTGGATCATTGATCGTCCCCGCAGGTTCCTTCATATTATTGAAATTCGTGCATCTTCGACAGCTCGGCTATACTCGGCTTCGACAGCACCATTGGCGTAGTCAGAATTTGGTCTTGGGGGGAGGGGCAAATTTGCAGGAAGTGATCCTTACCGCAGTGGCAACTTCGCCGTAACCACTACAGAAAGAAAAGCCCCGCAGTCGCGAAATTTTTGGGTCTTTTCACGGTATTTTTGAGACTTCTAATGATGGGGGCAAGCGGAAATTCGGCTATTTCAACAAATTTTGATGAGAATTTATAGTAGAACGTTACTTATATTATATTGTATGTATTTGAGTATTTTTCATTTTGAACTATTAATAAAATTTAAAGACCTTTGGAGTAAGGAGGCAAATGCCGATTTGATTCGCCTTAACCGGCTACAAGCCAATTCGACTTTTTACTCCTTATGTGTCTAGTAGGTTTGTCCGGTCTGTATATACATTTTCCATGATAAACTAGGTTAAAAAGGCCAGTGTCATTATCGTACATGATGCCTCGCTGTCATTCAAAATAAATTGAAAAAAACTCAACTTATGGCACGAAACAAACTTATAAATAAGCTAATGACATGGCCAAAAAATGAACTTACCTATATACAGGTTTGACAGTTCAACAACAGGCCAATTTTAATGCAATAGAATGAAATGTCTAGAAAAACTCTAAGGTTGAAGAGAACGAAATATAACGATTTCCCCTATTCCATCTCCAGCATTCCCAGCGCTTTTTGGCCACCTTGTTGTTGTCTCCCTCCGCTTCGCGACAGGTGACAGGAGGCAAACCACATCTCGCTCTAAAATCTAATACTTTTTTTCCTTGAATAATGAATAACTATTATAAATGGGATGTTCCATCTTCTAAGTGTTAAAGTTGCTCATATTGGGATATAGAATATCATCCATAACTCTTGGGAATGTAGCCGGCGCGTTCTTCAAACCAAAGGGCATACGCAAGAACTTATAATGCTCGTTTTTTGTGCTGAATGCGGTTTTTTCTATGTCGTTGTCTAGATCTGGTGGAAGCCGCTAGCTAAATCTAAGGCAGTGAAATACTGGCAGCGTCCCAGTTTCTTCAAGAGATCCGTTATGTTGGGTAATGGGTATCTGTCAAATTGTTTGTCAAAGTGGTTATAGCAAAAACAACAAAAACATAAAACACAAAAGTTTAATATAAAAATAAATAGTTAGGAATGTTAGGATCAGGAACTCAATATTTTTGTACCTACTCACTACACCCACAACATACAATGCCAAAATAACTACGGGGGCTCAAGCCCCCATTGCCCCCATTGCCCCATTGCCCCCATTGCCCCCATTGCCCCCATTGCCCCAATTGCCCCCATTGCCCCCATTGCCCCCGTTGCCCCCATTGCCCCAATTGCCCCCATTGCCCCCATTGCCCCCATTGCCTCCGTTGCCCCCATTGCCCCCATTGCCCCCATTGCCCACATTGCCCCCATTGCCCCCATGGTTCCGGTGCCTATGAACATATACATACATATATTGAATCAATTAGCCAGAGAAAAAAATTGAAGAAATATAATTTTAATAAACTGGTATTTGTTTTGGTATGTTTTCAAATTTCAATTACCTATATGAACAAGTTGATCTTGTATCCATTAATCCGTAAATTGATGAGCAAACTCTGGACAATGATAGGGAAGTAGACATTTTCTTAACCACAATATTCTCGAGAAAATTAATGGAAAATCATTTCCTTCCAATAAATAATATATTGGGTAAATATTTTCTAATCGAACCCAATCTATTCACTTTTGAAACAAATCGAGGATCAAAGCTCAAAAGCCCAACTTGGAAAATATCTTTTGTATAATCAGTGAAATTTTTATCCATTTTTTCATTTATTTTAAATGCTGTGATGCCTGGAACATTTAAATTGCCATGTTTAGCATGCTAAGAAATTCTTGTTTCATGCCTTCTTAGCCCCGAACTTGATTTTGAATCACATCAGAATTTTATGAATGAGGTAAATTTGGTAAAAACTGAAGCAACCTCAAAGACCTTAATGCTTTTGAACACCGTGCAAAAACGAGCTATCAAGCTGATCAATGACCCCGCACTTACTCGTAACTTGGATGGTCTCGAACATCGCAGATCTGTGGGCGATTTATCTCTCTTCTACAGGTACTATCACGGAAAATGCTCTGAAGAGTTGGCACGTATGATTCCACCGAGAGTAGCGCCTACCAGGCGAACCCGTCAAACAGACGGTAACCATGAATTTACTGTCAAACTAGAGGCACCAAGAACCTCATTATATCAGAATTCATATCTCTGCATCGCTGTGGAATAAACTCCCTGCGACGGTTTTCCCTGCAGGTTACAACCTGAACCGTTTCAAGACCAACATACACCGACATTTCCGCGCACTTGCCGCTTCTCGAGCGTGATAGGATATTTCCTTGCGAGTGCGCATATCCGTAAAAAAAAAAAAAAAAAAAAAAAAAAAAAGATAGGTATTTTCTTGAAACTGTTATTAATACACACATCTTTCTCCTGTTGTAATCTTTTACCCACATAACAGAGCATAGGAGTGAGAAAGGGCGAAAGGTTTATAGGTAAATGAAGGGTTAGGACAGCATTTTTCTTCCAAAACTAAACCAGAGTTTATGACATCATCAGCATTTACTCATTTATATTTGTCCTCCAGTGAAACTTACATAATAGACGAAGGACAGAAAACGGCCCTTAAATATACCATAAAAGCCGTAACAGTAATGGCTCATGAAATTTCCCATCAATGGTTCGGAGATTACGTTACACTTGATTGGTGGTCAGAAGCTTGGTTGAATGAAGGGTTTGCTAGCTACTTCGAGTGGCACTTACCAAACCTGGTGAGCAATCAGCATCAAAACCTAATAAAATATACCAATCCCTATTAGCTTTTAGCAGACTACGAATTTGATAAAATGTTTTTGGTCGAAGAATTCCAGCCAGCTTTACAAGGAGACAGTCCCAGTATGATGCCTTTATCGAATGATGAATCCAAAGTGAACACAATAGACGAAATTAATGCTGAATTTGACTCAGTAATAACGTACAATAAAGGTGGTTCAGTTCTTAGGATGATTAGTAATGCTTTGGGTGAAGATGTTTTCCAGCTCGGAATTCAAAATTATTTAAAAGACAAGTAAATGCAAAAATTTTTTTACTAAACCAAATACAATAATTATCAATTTTCAGTGCCTTAGGTAACGTAAACGCTTCTAATTTTATTGAACATCTTCAAGCAGCTCTTCCAAATACTACCGATATTGACTTAAAAACCTATTTGGATTCTTGGATTTATGAACCTGGGTATCCAATTGTGAAAACTTCTATTGAAGAAACTCACCTCGATTCTGACATTGTATCAATCAATGCAGTGTGTATCTAATAAAGATAATTGAGATTTTTGCATGGAAACTCTTTTTTTTTAGTACAAGTTTCAACCATCTTTGAATGACACCGAAAGAGAACTATCTATATGGTGGGTACCACTTACATATGTTACATCTGATAATCCAACTGTAAGCACCAAGTGGATTCGCCCTACACAAACTTTCGGTTATTCTATACCAAAATCTGATGACGCTTGGGGTTTAGTAAATGTACATGCTACAGGTAATTAATTAGTATTTTTGAAGAAACCTCACAATCACAGGATGTTTTTACAGGTTTCTACCGAGTGGACTATGATGTAAAGTCTCTGGCTAAAATCTTCAAAGTTTTAAATAATCCAGACAATTACACTCAAATACCAGTGCTTAATAGAGCTCAACTTATAGATGACTTATTTAATATTGCCAAATATTATACTGAAAAAGAACAACGTTATGAGAGCAGGTAATGAAACTACTAACCATTACTAAGCTTCAATTAATACTATTAACATTTTTAGGCCGTACCAAAACGCCTTCTCGTTTGTCGAATATTTGAAACACGAACAAGAGTATTATCCTTGGTCTACCTACTTAAAAGAAGTTCAGTATCTCTTAGATATGATAACAGATGAAACTACTTTGCAAACTTTAAAGGTAAACTTCTTTTTGATGTTTTAATTTTTTTCAAATATTGACTTATTTAAGGCTGATGTTCTTGAACTAATAAGTTCTCAACTGATAATCCCTAATAACACGAACTCCCAGGACGTAAGTCCTCCAGAAATTCTGAAAAGAAGTCTTCTTTTGGAATGGGCTTGCAAATTAGGCCATAAGGATGCAATTGATTATGTTAAGACACAGTTTGCTAGTTACCAAGCTGATTCTGGAAGGTAAAAATTTATGAATTTGATGAGGAGAATTTTCACAATTTTGTATTTTTAGTGTGGACAATAATTATAGAGATGTGATTATCTGTTATGGATTCCAAAACGCTAACAGCGAATATCATGCCAGTCTGATGGCTCTATATGAAACAGCTACTTTGCCTCAAGAACAAACTGACATTATAGTCGGACATACATGCGTTTCAGATGTTGGCATTTTGGTTAAGTAAGTTTTGAAGAACACACCTCTTATGGGTATTTGGTTTTCTGTCAAATTCAATGAAATTTTGCTATGTGTTAGACCTTGACTTCCTGATAAAAAGTTCTCATGGGCCCGAAATAAAATGTGTACAGGGTGTTTTTTTATATATTGTCACCCCACCTACAGCCTTTACCTTTACAGGTAGAAGAAAGGTGTAAATACGGAAGTTGTACAGTTTTGGCTGAATTTTGAGAAACCATGGTCAGAAAAAAAATTTGAATGTCAGAAATGTGAACTTTTGCATGCTTCCAGCTTTTCTCAAATGGGATGCCCTATATTTCATTCTATATTCTTGAAGAGCACAATGCCCCGATTCCAAAAATATATAGTTTGTCTATATTCAATTGAACAGTCTCTAATATATTCGGCTTCAAAAATTGTAAAAATACTATCCTGCTACTGATTTTTTGTGAACCATTCTACCTGTATAGGTGAGAGCTGCAAGTAAAATTTGAAGTACTTGGTTTCTCTGATAGTATTTCTAAAATATTTAGAACCAAATATGTTGGACACGGCTCAACCAAATACAGACAAACTATATAGTTTTGGAATCGGGAAATTGTGCTCTTCAAGAATATAGAATCAAATATAGGGCATCCCATTTGAAAAAAGCTGAAAGCATGGAACATTTCACATCTCTGACATTGAATTTTTGTTTCTGACTATGGATTCTAAGCCCATACTGTACAACTTTTGTATTTACAGCTTTCATCTAGGTACTATTGTAAAGGTGAAGGCTGTAGGTGGGGTGTCAAGGAACCCCTGTACTTGAACAATAACTTTATTATATAAAATCAGAATTTGTAAGATTATCTACTTTTTGTCAATTTGCCTCTTAACAGGAATTAGTAATGTTACTACTAAACTAGTAACATAATGTGACAAATTATTCAAGTACAAATGAATGAATTGTTGCGGAACTTATGGGTGAACCTCTGGGGGACGAGCGCAGCGAGTTCCGCAGTCATCTATTTATCAATATGATGTTTAATTACGATACTAACCTGACTCACTCAAATGTCAGTTATTCTCATTAGTTCAAAAACTACACGTTTCAGGTGAGTATCTTATTTGAATAGTTCAACAGTATATTGGTGAGTAGATGGCTGCGGAACTCACTGCGCTCGTCCCGCAGAGGTCCACCCATAAATTTCGCAATATGTTCTGGGAAGGTTAAATGTTCATCTATTATGCAACAATGGTTATTTCATTAATATTGACACCTGATATATAAAGTTGTATTTTACAGTTCTGAACATTCCTCACAATGTCATTTATGTACAAGATTAAAAGTGACGGCCCAAGCACCGTGCCTTTGGGGTACACCATAACTAGACTCCCTCTCGCTTGAAGTTTCAATATATCTGGTTACTTGCATACAAGTAATCCTCAAACCGTTTCAAAATAATTTCACCAAACCCATATTTTTGTAACTTCAGGAGAAGTAACTTTCTGTTAATAGTCTCATTTGCACGTTTATAAAGTCTAAAAAAATTACACTTATTATTTTTCCATCTTCCAATGCAGATTTCCAATCAAAGAGAAGAGTCTGTAGAGCGGTTTCACATGAGTTCTTTCTTCTGAAGCCAGCCTGGTACTAACTGAGTAAACATTTTTTTCAATGTAAGCCATTATTTTGTCATTAACACACATTTTTAATAATTTTTTGTAAGGGGGTGCCATATTAATTGGACGGAATTCTTCACACTTCACGGTACCTTTTTTCTTTTCAATTGGCACAACCATACTTTTCTTCCACTTATCTGGAAAGTCTCCTTGCTCCAAACTTTGATTAATGATATTCAGAAATTTATCACCTATGGTTTCAAATGCATGTTTAAGAAGCTGGACAGTTATGCCATCAGTGTTACTTTCTTTGTTTTCCATTCTCTTAAACTCTGACATTTCTATTTTTTGAAATTTTTCCATATGATGCTCAGTTTCTATTTGTTGTACAGTGTCTTCTAAGGATTTTGTTGGCATTATATTTTCTGAAATTTCTCGGATGCTATCCAGGAAGAACATATTAAATTTTTCACAAATCTCATTTCCTGATACTATTTTATTATCAAATTTTATCTAATTTTTTTCATTTTCATGTTCCTTTGTACTGACTTTTTTTTTATGTCTTTCACATTTTCTTAGAGTTACCTTTCAGACTGTCTATCTTCTCATTAAAATAACAACAAACTGTGTTGTAACCTGGAATATCTATTTAATTTTTTTTGAAATCTTCTGTGACGTGAGTTTCTCACAGACAGATGAACATCGGTTTATTTTTATGTACCGCCAATTCAAATTCAGTTTTATGATCCCTGAATATTTAAGATTTTGATTGCTAGTTCACATCATATATAGAGCCAAATATAGGGTATCCCATTTGAAAAAAGCTGATAGCATGCAACATTTCACATTTCTGAGATTCAATTTTTCTTTCTGACCATAGATACCAAAAATATAGCCAATACTGTACAACTTTTGTATTTACAGCTTTCATCTACTTGTAAAGGTGAAGACTGTATGTGGGGTGTCAAGGAAAAAAACACCCTGTACTTGAACAATAACTTATTATATAAAGTCAGAATTTGTAAGATTATCCACTTTTTGTCAATTTGCCTTTTAACAGGAATTAGTGATGTTACTTTACTAAACTGGGTAACATAATGTGACAAGTTATTCAAGTACAAATGAGTGAATTGTTGCGGAACTTATGGGTGGACCTCTGCGGGACGAGCGCAGCGAGTTCCGCAGCCATCCATCTATTTATCAATATGTTGTTTAATCAAGATACTTACCTGACTCACTCAAAGGTCAGTTATTCTCATTAGTTCAAAAACTACACGTTTCAGGTGAGTGTTTTATTTGAATAGTTTAACAGTATATTGGTGAGTAGATGGCTGGTCCACCCATAAGTTTCGCAATAATCCACTTATTTGTACTTAAACAATAACTTATTATGTAAAGTCAAAATTTGTAAGATTATCCACTTTTTGTCAATTTGCCTTTCAAAAGGAATAAGCAATGTTACTTTACCAAACTAGTGATATATTGTGACAAGTTATTCAAGTACAAACGAGCAGATTGTTGCGGAACTTATGGGTGGACCTCTGCGGGACGAGCGCAGCGAGTTCCGCAGCCATCTATTTACCAATATACTGTTGAACTATTCAAATAAGATACTCACCTGCGGGAGGGGATTCCGTATCGAAATAACGCGAGTTCATGGTAAGACTAAAAACTATTTAAACAATCAGGTAGACAGGAAAAAAAAGAAGTCATCAAATGTTGAAAAAGTAAAGAAGTCGTGAAAGAAAGAAAATTTAATTCATTTTACATTATGTGCGAATGCTCTAAGTGATTAAAAGATTTATATTATAGGAATAATTTAGTGAAAGTAAGGAAAAATTATTGTAAGTACATGTAGGAATAATTTGAGACTTTACCATTTATTGGATGACTATGATGTATAGTGAATTGACTCTGAAACATTATTGCAAATTTAATTGAAAAAACTGGTAGGTAGTGCAACATACTACTACGCAAGATTTTACGAAGCTCTTCACCTCAATCGGAGCTATTTAGACTTCACGGAATGTAAGCGAAGAATAATTACTTATTATGTATAGTCAATATTTGTAGCATTATCCACTTTTTGTCAATTTGCCTTTCAAAAGCAATCAGTAATGTTACTTTACCAAACTAGTAATATATTGTGACAAGTTATTCAAGTACAAACGAGTGGATTGTTGCGGAACTTATGGGTGGACCCAGCCATCTATTCACCAATATGTTGTTTAAGTACGATACTAACCTGACTCACTCAAATGTGAGTTATTCTCACATTAGTTCAAAAACTACACGTTTATTTGAACAGTTCAACAGTATAAATATTGGTGAGTAGATGGCTGCGGAACTCGCTACGCTCGTCCCGCAGAGGGCCAACTATAAGTTCCGCAATAATCCACCCATTTGTACAGGGTGTTTTTTTATATATTGACACCACACCCCAGCCTTTAGACCTACAGCCTTTAGCTTTACAGGTAGAAGAAAGATGTGAATACAAAAGTTGTACAGTTTTGGCTGAATTTTTAGAAACCATGGTCAGAAATAAAATTTGAATGTCAGAAATGTGAAATTTTGCATGCTTCCAGCGTTTTTCAAATGGGATGCCCTATATTTCATTCTTTATTCTTGAATAAGAGAACAATGCCCCGCTCTATATTTGATTGAGCAATCTCTCATATATTCGGCTCTAAAAATTGTAAAAATACTATCCTACTACAGATTTTGTGAACCATTCTACCTGTATAGGTGAAAGCTGCAGGTAAAATTTGAGATACTTGGTTTCTCTGATAGTCTAGGTATTCTTTCGATCTGAACAAACTGATTGTAATCACATGAGGTTTGTTCATGAGGCGTCAAAGGAGGGTTAGGGCCAATGAAATCGTTGTAAAACCGGATGAAAATTGTTTGAAACAAACTTCAAGTGAGTTCGATCAATTTGTTCAGATTGAAAGAATACCTGGATTATTTTTAAAATTTTTAGAACCAAATATGTTGGAGACCGCTCAACCAAATATAGACAAACTATAAAGTTTTGGAATCGGGAAATTGTGCTCTTCAAGAATATAGAACCAAATATAGCGCATCCCATTTGAAAAAAGCTGAAAGCATGCAATATTTCACATTTCTGACCATGGCATGGATTCTAAAAATTTAGCCAGTACTGTACAACTTTTATATTTACACCTTTCATGTACCTGTAAAGGTAAAGGCTGTAGGTGGGGTGTCAATATATAAAAAAGCATGCCCTGTTTATTTCTTGGACATTCAAGTACCTACCTGTATCTCAAAAACTAATCATAGGATTGGTTCGGGCCCATGAGAACTTTTTATCAGGAAGTTAAGGTCTAGCACTTAATCAAAATTTCATTGAATTTGACAGAAAACCAAATACCCATAAGAAATGGGTCCTTTCTATTAAATTTTTTCTCAACATTTGTGTAATAGGGTATTAGCTTCTACACTGGTAGATGATTCTCCAATAGAACAACATTATTGGGCTCCCATGTATTCTGCCTTGATAAAAAGAGGTTCTATAGGTGTAGAGGCTGCGTTGAGATTTATTCTAGAAAATTCTGATGCTATTATGCAAAAGTAAGTAGGTACATTTTATAGGAATTCGAAGTAATAATAAAATATTCACTATGTTTACAGATGGAAGAAGCCAATGAATATAGAAAAAATGATTAGTTCTGCTGCTAGCAATGCTAAGTCAGAACATATGGCAATGGTAAGAACAATATGGAGAAGCAACAAAATACTGAATTATAAATTTCTTTTTACAGTTAACTCAACTTTTGAACAAATTTGGAAAAGATTCGAAGATAGGTAAAATTATTGTCAAAGGCCTAGCTAACATAGAGTCCAAAGCATTGTGGCTAGAAAAGTTTGGAGAAGAAATCACTAGTATTTTAGTCTTTGGTGGAAGTACTGTACCAACAACCCCCTCAACTAGTACCACTACCATTTCTACAACTACCAGTTCTACGTCTACTTCCACTACCCCTAGAAGCAATAATGGAAGTAATACAGCTCGGAGCAGCACTGGAATTGTTTTCCTTGTACTTTGTTCGATGTTAATTTTTTTTAAATAGTGTAGAGTTTTAGAATGTAGTTTTAAGATATAAAGCTAGCAAACGTCCAAACAATTATGTAGCTGTAATAAACGTATCTTTCCAAAAACACCTTGTTAACCCTTTCAACTACAACCCGGGTACATTTTGGACCCATCACTCCGAATTTTGGCATATTTTGGTTAGCGAAACGCCACTTGGCATTCAATTTAGACCGACCAATAACTCAAATGCTTATCAAACAATGCATGCGTAATAGTATAATTAACCTTATTCTTTTGTTGGTGCTGTGCAGAAAATGGCTTCATCAGGACGTAATTTGACTGATGAAGAACTTGAAGAAATACTGTTGAATATGACAACAATTATGACTTCACTAATGTAACTCCAACTGAAGATTTGAAGATGACGATGATTATTCACCAAACTCTGACTCGGAAGGAGAAGACGATCATATCGAGGAAGAAGGGGGAGAAAGTGATATCTCCTCTGCAGAAGTAGACGATTTTGCGGTAGACGACGAAGAGATTCCTTCGTTTTGACGACAATAGCAGAGCGAAAAGCTGAAAACAAAATGGCAGCTATGCTTGATATTTTTGATAATTTCGTATCAAACTGCCAGGACTATCACTGTTGATGAACAGATTGTTGCCTTTCAGGAAAATTGCCCTTTTAGACAGTATATCAATCTAAACCAAGACGCTATGGAATCAAAATTTGGGCTGCTTGTTGTTCTAGAACAGCTTATACATACAACCTTCAAGTTTGCAAGACAAACTAACCAAGGTTCCAGAATCGTAAAGGATTTGATTTCTCCATTGTACGATACAAGTCGAGGTCTAATTATGGACTTATTTTTCAAAAGATCTTCTGTAAGCGTGATATCCCAAAAAGCTTCACTGTCAGCCAAGACAAGAACGGGTTCTCCTCAATATTTGCGTTCACCGATAATCTGAGACTGACATCTTACGTTACTAGAAAAAAAAGTGTGTGGACTTGCTATCATCTCAGCAATACGATAACAAGATAAGCGATCTCCCAGAGCATAACAAAAAACCTCGGATTATTCTTGATCACAACGCTACAAAAGGAGGTGTTGATGCTTTGGATCAACTTATACAAGACAATACTCCTGTTCCAAGATGGCCAATGAAAATTTTGTTCAACATTGTTTTACTAGGAAAAGAACTTCTACCTCCAGGTTATCAAAAAGCTTTTAGGTCGAAGGGTTGAGCAAATTTCATCATTTTGCATTTACTTTAACTTGAGTGCTTTGTGGACACGTGACTTGGAAAGTTACTTATCTTGAAGTTCAGCGAATTATCTGAAATGTTTGTTTTAATCAATATCCATCAGAAAAATTATGTTCAAAGTGCATCATGCTAGATACTTGAAAATTTTCAATTGGCCAGAGAATATCATATATAGAACCATTGAATATAATATTTAGTTTTTCTCAAGTGATAGTGGACCAAGTAGGTAATATTAAATAAGGTACCTATATTTTGTGTTACATATTATTTTCTAGTAGGTTCACGTACATAAGCAATGAGATTGCATTTACAAATTCTGCTGACGGCAGTAATCCTCATTAGAAGTAACGTAAATGGTTACAACCTCAGCGACTACAGGCTACCAAAATATGCAGTACCATCCTTTAATTATTTTTCGGTTGACCTAAGGAACCCTGAAGCAAACACCTTTAACGCCAAGGCCTGGATTCAAGTAACCCTCCCTGGTAAGAGTTACTAAAAGATTAAATAAACAAATTTGAGTTAAATTTTTAGAGCCTGTTACTGAATTGGTTCTCAATGTGGATCCCAATTATGTGGATATCAAGTCTCTTGGTGTAGACATGGGTTCGGCCAGTTTTGTTTGTAGTCCGGGTAATTATAGCGCCGAGACTCAAGAAATGGTTTTGTTTTGCTTGGAGGATTTAGATGATGGTAGGTATAAGCATTTTGTTCTAATTAGATACTTATTGGACATTGAATAATTAGATAACAATTAGATACGTAGTAAGAGGGATTAGTTGCAATTGGAATAATAAGTATTTGTAATTCACTCAACTTGTTGTTTACCCAAAACTTTGAATTAGTAAATTTCAAGAGTATAGGTAGGTAGGACTTTAATTTACCCCACTTTCAAACCAACTAGAATAAGTTCAAAGTATGTAAGTCCCAAAGGGCATTGAGACCATTCATATACTCTAGCTGGAAACCGTTTATTAAAAATTTTGCTTATTGACATAATGAAGCCAAATGGGCAGCAGCTCTATCATGCTGATAAAGTCAGTTGCATTTTGATGTTTGAATAATCTCATGAATCGAATTATCATGCCAAACCCCAAAATCAGCTCCATTTGTCTCGTGTTAAATTGATTCAACTATTCTGAGCGTCTGTAGCTGCACGAAAAAAGGGTTTCTGTGAAAATATGGACATTTCCACCATAGTCTCGGATACAAATCGTACTGGAAGTTATAGATAGTACCAATATACATTGTTTAGGGAACCTCCCTTGTCTTGCAAATTACTTTGGAAGTGGTTTATAAGGGTAAAACTAATTATTGCGATCCATGGAAAAAAGGGTTTTTATGAAAATATGAACATTTCCACCCTAGTCTCGGGCACAAATGGTACTGGAAATTAGAGGCAGTACCAATATACACCGTAGGGTACCGAAAAAGACTTACAAATTACTTTGAGGGTAGTTTAAGGGGGTGAAACTGATAATTGCGATTCATAAAAAAAAAAGAATTTTTGTGAAAATATGGACATTTCCACCCTAGTCTCCGGTACAAATGGTACTGGAAGTTATGGGCAGTATCAAGATACACCGTTTAGGGTACCTAAAAAGACTTGCAAATAACTTTGAGGGTGGTTTAAGGGAGTAAAACTAATAGCTGCGATTCATCGAAAAAAGGGTTTTTGTGAAAATATGGACATTTCCACCCTAGTTTCGGGCACTACTGGTGCTGGAAGTTATAGGCAGTAGGTACCAATATACAAAGACTTGCATAGGCGCCGGAACCATGGGGGCAATAGGAGCTTGAGCCCTCGTAGTGAATTTGCTATGCAATGATCTTGGCATTGTATGTAAAGTTCGCCTTATGAGTCTAGCACTAGGGAAAGAATGCGAATAAAAAAATTGCAATATTGCCTAGGTATTTGATTTCCAATAGAAAATACCTTAACATTTATCTATGTTACACGCCTACATTTATAACGAAAAAGTAATATTTAAAAAAAGCTGCGCACACGCCTATGACAGGCAGCTAAAGCTCGAAATAAATGGCGTTATTCCCCCTTGCCCTTCGGACGTCGTAGTGCTAGACTCGTAAGGCGAACTATAGTGGGTGTAGTGAGTAGGCACAAAAATATTGAGTTTCTGATCCTTTCACAAATAGTTTCAATATTTTTTCGTTTAGTATAGTAAAGTAAATTTTAGGGGCCTTAATACAAAAAGCTTAGATGACAAATACGCATTACCCAACATAACGGATCTCTTGAAGAAGCTGGGACGCTGCCAGTATTTCACCACCTTAGATTTAGCTAGCGGCTTCCACCAGATCCAGATGCATGAAAACGACATCGAAAAAACCACATTCAGCACAGAAAACGGGCATTATGAGTTCTTGCGCATGCCTTTTGGTTTGAAGAACGCGCCGGCTTCATTCCAAAGAGTTATGGATGATATTCTATATCCCAATATATTGAGCAACTTTAACACCGAAAGATGGAACATCCTATCAATAATAGTTATTCATTATAAGTACAAGGGAAAAAAGTATTAGATTTTAGAGCGAGATGTGGTTTCCTCCTGTCACCTGTCGCGAAGCGGAGGGAGACAACAACAAGGTGGCCAAAGAGCGCTGGGAATGCTGGAGGTGGAACAGTCGTTATCTTTCGTTCAACCTTTCTAGACATTCCATTCTATTGCATTAAAATTAGCCTGTGTTGAGCTGTCAAACTTGTATATAGGTTGTGCCTCCTCTTTTCCCAAGACTAAATACTGACTACGCCAATGGTGCTGTCGAAGCCGAGTATAGCCGAGCTGCCGAAGATGTACGAATTTCCATAATATGAAAGAACCTGCGGGGACAAACAATGATTCAGCGTGGCGATCCTGAAATGGGTATCTGTCAACTGGTCTCATTCAAGTCTATGTGTCTAGTAGCTTAGTCCTGTCTGTCTAATTATTTCTACTTATGGTAATTTTTGGATCCCAAGCCTCCACAGTAAGTTTGAAATTCCGGCGCCTATGAAGACTTGCAAATAACTTTCCCGAAATCAACTTCAGATCTTCGGGTCCTGATAATCCTGATAGTAGGATAAACGTAGCTGCATAACATAGGTGGGGGTGCAACAAATTAGCAACAAGCTGATTTAAGCGGAAATGTTTAGTAACTGACCTCCTATTTAACTTCCCAAAAGTCTAATTCAGTCCTAGGGGTGGAAGGCTGAAAAAAAAGGCCACTATCTTGATTTTTTTAGTTTTTTCCAAATATCTCAGTTTCTATTAGTTTTTTCAAGAAAACTCAGGAAACTTTTTTGGTGGAGAATTTAATTCTCTATAAAAAGTGTCTTTACGTTTTTTTTGTAACATGAAGGATAACGAAGATATATGTCCAAGTCCTATACTCGCCTGGAAAGTAAGCATTTTGCCTACCAATTTTAATGCGAAAGAATGAAATGTCTAGAGAAAGTGAATAGAGAACGAAAACGATTTCCCCTGTTTCACCTCTAGCTTTTTGCTGGAGGTGGAACAGGGGAAATCGTTTTCGTTCTTTATTTACCTTGGACTTTTTCTAAACATTTCGAAAGGGATAAAGTTTAGTGAAAATTAAAGAGAAATATTTACTATAAAAAGCTCTGTATCCCCGTTATCCTTCATGTTACAAAAAAAAAGGTAAAAACACTTTTTATAGAGAATTAAATTCTCCACAAAAAAGGTTTGTTGAGTCTTCTTGAAAAAACTAATAGAGACTGGGATATTTGAAAAAAACAAAAAAATCCAAAATGGCGACCATTTTTTTTCAACCTTCCACCCCTAGGACTGAATGGGATTTTTGGGAAGTTAAATAAGAGGTCACTCACTGAACATTCCCGCTGGAATCAGCTTGTTGCTAATTTGTTGCACCCTGACCCCCCAGATTGATTCGGCTATGAAGTTGATGACTATTTCTGATACCCTGCTCAGAAGAGGCAAAACGCCTATGTGCTGATAGTCATCCTGCTTTACTATGAGCATGACGATTTCCACATGCTTTCTACAAAACTAGAAAGACGGTCTAGAGGTTGAGCGCATTAATTCAAGTTTAATTATTTTTTTTAGAGATCATCACTGCATCACAACCAAACGACACAACAGCAATGTTCCGTATCGACTATACGGCCAACTTCTCAGACGAACCCATGGGACTTTACAAAAACAAATTTAAAGTCAACAATAGCGCAAGTTATGTTATATATACCCAATTTGAACCTACCTATCTCAGAAGAGTATTTCCTTCGTTTGACGAACCCAACATTAAGGCCCCCGTTCGTGTTGGCGTTGCTAATAATAAAAATTTAACTGTGGTGAGCAACATGGATTATGCCGAGTATGTAGAATGATGAGGCTTCATAATTTTTTACATTAATAAATTGGGATTTTAGAAATTATGGCTTTATGGACACGCCAAATATGTCCACATACTTGGTAGCTATCGTAGCAGGGCCCAACGAAACGTGGACCACTTATCGATTATCTGAAACTTACCAATTCAATTTTTCAGTTTTTGCTCAGAGAATTCACGCAGATTATGTCTGGTTTGCACTTGGTAAGTCAGTATAGTTATTACTAACAAAAAATTAAATTCAATTCTTAGAAAATGGGCCACACCTTATGCACCTGATGGGTACCTACACAGACCTACCCTACGAAACTTTGGGCATTTCTAAAATGACATTTGCTGCACTACCAGGAATGAGTGGAGCTATGGCAAACTGGGGACTAATTACATTTGGGTAATTGTTTTTTTACAATTAGCTACAAATACTTATTATTTATTTCTTCAGTGAGGCTTTATTGTTAGATGAAGGAGACAGAACTCCTCACAGATCCACAATCAGCTTACTAACAAAAATGGCTCATGAAATTGCCCATCAATGGTTCGGAAATTATGTCACACATAATTGGTGGTCAGAACTTTGGCTTAATGAAGGCTTTGCTACCTATTTTGAGTGGTATCTATCAAATCTGGTAACCAAATAATAACATTATATTTGAATAATGCAATAACATTTATTAGGTTGAGACACAATATGAATACGACAAGTTATTTTTGATTAACGTGCTCCAACCAGCTTTACAAGCAGATGGTCCCAATATGGTTCCTTTATCCAATGAAGAATCCAAAGTGAACACTCCACAAGAAATTGAAGATGCTTTCAGCAATAATGCTATAAATTCCAATAAAGGTGCTTCATTCATAAGGATGATACGACACGCTTTAGGAGAAGAGGTTTTCCAGAGAGCCATACAAACCTACTTGAAAGACAAGTAACAATGATTCCAGAAACTGATAATTTACTTTTCAATAATTGAATACTTATTAATTAGTGCCTTGAAGAACGTTGAAGCTTCCAATTTGGTTGACCATCTTCAAGCTGCTCTACCAAATACCACGGATGTAAATCTGACCCTATACTTGAATTCGTGGATTTATGAACCTGGATATCCAATACTAAAGACTTCCATTGGTGCAACGAAATCTGGTTCTTTGATTGTATCCATTGATATTGTGAGTACAATTGAAGAGATAATTGTGTTTAAAAAGATCTTTCATAACATTTTTTAGTACACATTTCAACCATCGCTTAATAACACCGATAGAGAAGAATCCAAATGGTGGGTACCAGTTACTTATGCTACATCTGACGAACCGTTCTGGGATAACGCTACAACTTTCTGGATCAATCCTGGAAGGACTTTCGGATATTTCATCCAAGATATTAACGATTCTTGGGGTGTTTTAAATGTACATGCAAGTGGTAATAAGTTTATATTTGTGTGCATCAAAAATTTACTAATACAGATAAAACGATTATTAGGGTACTACCGAGTGGACTATGATACAGATTCCCTAGCAAGAATTTTCAGAGTATTGAATAACGCAGACACTTATACTCAAATTCCTGTCCTAAATAGAGCACAACTTATAGATGATTTATTCAACATTGCCAAATATTATGTTGAAAGACAAGAAGGATATAAAGATAGGTAATTTATAAAACCCTATAATTTTAAATCTAATTTAAAATTTAGGCCTTATGAAAATGCTTTCTCATTTGTGCAATACTTGAAACACGAAGAAGAATACTTACCATGGCACACCTTTTTAAAAGAAGTGCAATATCTTTTGAACAATCTCGAAGATGAGACTACATTGAAAACTTTGAAGGTAAATGTTTGTTCAAATCCTGAAAAAAGTGTCTATTTGTTATTATTTATTTCAGGCTGACGTGCTTGAGCTTATAGAAGCAAAGCTAGATTTTCCCAATGGCACCGTAATACCCCTGGTATCTCCTCTTGTAATTTTGAGATCAAACCTTCTTTTGGATTGGGCTTGCAAATTAGGCCATGAAGGTGCCATTGAATATGTTAAAGGAAAGTTTGATATGTATAAAACTGATCCTAAAAGGTAACAAATTTTAATATAGGTGCATAATTTCGCAGGATGTAAAACAATTTATTGTTTTAGCATTGACAACGATTATAGAGATACTATTATCTGCTATGGAGTTCAAAATAGTAACTCACCAAACACAGACTACGATACCCTAATGGATATCCATGCCAAATCCAGCATACCGCAAGAACAACAAGAAATTTTAATAGGACTTACCTGTTTCTCTAATGCTGATATTTTAGACAAGTAAGTTTTATTGAGAGTTTTGCTTAGGCTCTATCTAAAAAACTTTGTTTAAGATATCTAGCCACTACTCTAGAAGACGATCCTCCTATAGCTAAACATTTTTGGCCTGACATCTTTAATGCCTTGTGTCAGAGGGGTCCTGTTGGTTTGGAGGCAGCTGTACGTTTTATAGTCAAGAATTCTAATGCCATCATTCAAAAGTAAGTAAAAAGTAGTGTCAGTACTATAGCATCAAAATTGATTTTTTTTATTGCAGATGGAAAAAACCAATGGATATCCACAAAATGATAAAATCTGTTTCAGAAAAAATTATTAAAAAAGAACATGCAGCTTTAGTAAGCATTATAAACCATTTTTTATAGAAATGAAAATTCATTATTATTTTACAGCTATCCAATCTCCTCAGCACATTCAGCAAAGATTCGGATGTAGGACATGATGTCGTTATGGCATTAGCTGAAGCAGAAGCCCATGTAAAATGGTTAGAAAAGTTTGGAGATGAAATTACTAGTGTCTTGGTGTACAATGGAAGTCCTATTCCTGGACCTACCACTCCAAGTAATGGAAACAATTCAGCTAGAAAGCTGAATAGTTTTACTGGAATAGTTCTTATTATAGTTTCTTCAATTGTATTCAGATGTTTTGTGTAAATTAGAGTTAATAGTTATTGTTGAAAAACAATATTTTATAAATCTATAAAATTGACTTTCTTTGTTTAACCTTCTAATAATTAGTTACTGGCGAAAACTCAGTCAGTACATTCACCTCCTACAAGAAACTTGGGAATACAAGGGTCGCGTAAGAGGATTAGGCAGATTAGAAAAATCTCTTTTCTATAAAAGGGACATTCCACTGAATCCAAGGACTTGCATCCATGTCGACAAACGGATCGAGTCCACATATTGCCAAGTCTATCATAGTTACTGTATCTGTAATTTTGCAATGCAAAACATTCAAATCTCTACAAAATTAGGTTTACCAAATATTCCATTGTAGTGTTTTCACATCATTCAGCAAGATTTTCGGTTGTCAGATTGTCAAGAATATAGATATGATTTCTTTCTTAGTCTCGACAATCTGATTGTTTAATAATAAGGTTCTTACCAGCTCTAGGAGGGTTGAGTTCAATATTTCAGGTACATTTTGTTTTTGGAGCCTCTGAAAATGTACAAAAATAATCCATCCACAATAATATTTAATTTTTATTTCCACGACAAACACGTCAAGCCTAAACCTATATACTATCAAAGAATTGTATAGTTTTCTCTGGCACCTACTCAAGTAAGAAGGAAAAAATAGCAGTTTTTAGACTTAAAACCTAGGGCAAATTCTCACGTCTTCTTTCAGTCGCATCCATCACAAATTTCATCTCAGGCAAAGTCAGCATTTAAGACATCACCTCAAAGAAAATCAAAGCATACAAACCAAAAACCAGAAAATGATTGGTTTATTTCTTGTTCCCGTAAAGTAAGGGTAGCTCTTCCTCTAATCTGACCACTTTGACGTTGCTAACCAAGTGCCAATCTTCACCTCTGCGTACATAAGAACTATAGAAATTTACTAGTTCCTTGCTAGAGTCATTTTCCAAATCGTGCACTAGGAGACTGTCTTTTTGATTTTCCATGCTCGGTTGACAGTTACTTTCGTGCTTTCTACAAATCTGATTAAGGGTTGTGTAGGAAGCATTGATGACATGAACATCTATTTGAGAGAAAATAATAATAATAATTGTTATTTTTTTAGTAAGTAAGCTATTTTTCTTACCAGTGTCATTAAAAGTGATAAAAACTACAGTTTCAGTCACCTCTGTGGAGAAAAAAGTTTCATTAGCGCCACTATAGATGAGGCTACGTTTATTAATCCTTTGGGTGGGTCGTAATTTTTTATAGTGCTCAGACCATTGCCAAATTTTCAAAATAAACCCATTCAAATGTCCTCTTAGCTTAGTCTTTTTGCCTTTGGATGGGTCAAACGAAAAGGACTTAGGGTTCATAATGAAAGCATATTCATATGTCCAAGTTTTAAGAATCTATAACAAAGTTAACAATGTATCACCAGTCAAATATTTTGACAAAAAAAATGTCAGACAAACTATCCTGCAGTAAATCAAACAACGATCTTGCAAATGTACCAAAAAGCAACCCTAAAGTATCAGAAGCCCTTGAAATACATCCCATACATGTTGTCCCTTCTAATCTTTTTCCATCGTGCAGAATATGTCAGACGAACACACCCAATGAACGCCTAATTTCCCCATGCAATTGCAAAGGCACTTTGGCTTTTATCCATTTGAGCTGTTTGGAAAGATGGCTGAACCAATCTGGAAGGAACTTTTGTGAACTATGCAACTTTAGGTATGTTGAAAGACAATATTATAGTGGGTTAACACATTGCATGCTGCGTCGGGCATAACTGCCCGACAATGATGTTTCCATTCAGACTATGCCGGACTCGTTGCTTTCCCTTTACAGTCTTATAGGAAAATCTTAAATTGTACGATTAGTTTTCGAGATTTCGGTGTTTAAAAGTAAGCACATTTTGAAAAGTAGTAATTTTGAGTATCTTTGAGTAGTAGTAGTAGTAGCTCAATATCTCGGAAACTCGACAAGTTACAAAAACCAATTTTGCAGGGCTTATAGAGAATTCAATACTCTTTTCAATGATGCATAATTGTAGGCAATTTTCTCAAATATCATTGAAGATATGAGCAATTATTCATATCAAGCATGTTAAGATTCTAAAAAATGTTCATTGCCAAAAATTAGATTTCCTTTTTGGATTTTTTTTCCCATAGAAATTTTCAATGTTACTGATGTTAGAGTTGTTACTGACTAATTTGGATTCGCTCTATCGATTTAAAAAGTCAAAATTGAGATAAATCCAAAAATAAAATTTTTCAGTTTTTATAACTTTTTCCTGAAGGTACCCCCTTTAAACTTTAATGTGCAAATCTTCTAACTTGAATATCAAAAGCGTTACTGGTACAAAATAATGCTGTACTGAAATCTCTATCGTTTAAGGATTTTGAGAAAATCGAGTTTGAAGTTTTGGGCAAAATGTCGACTAAATTTCAACTTTGAAGCTCAATATCTCAGAAACTTCATAAGTGACATTAATTAATTTTGCACGGCTTATAGAGAATTTAATAAAATCTGTTTTTTTTTTAAAAGATAATTCCCCAAGTCAAAAATTTAGTAACTATGTTGGCAACACAAGCCTTTTCTACATAAAAAATTTGAAAGCATTGACAATTTTACATTGTATTGCCAACATAATGTCATTTTGACTTTTATCTTAAAAAAAAAACACACTTTACTCTTTTTAATGATGTATAATTGTAGGCAATTTTCTCAAATATCATGGAGGATATGAGCAATTATTCATGAGCATGTCAAGATTCCAAAAAATGTCCACAGCCAAAAATTAGATTTCCTTTTTGGATTTTTTTTTCTCATGGAAATTTTCAAATGTAACTGATGTTAGAGTTGTTTCCTCGGTTGTTTCTGACTAATTTGGACCACAACAACTATTAAGAAACTATTGAGAAAGTAAAATAATAAGAAAGGTCGTTAGTAAGACCGTAAGACGTCACTAAAACTGTCGTCGGCTGGACGCCCAAAACATGCCTTCAGTACGACGTTCTATTATGGACAAAAGTCGTATGAGACCAAAGTAGTCCCAAATTGGATGTCCTTTTGACGACACACTGGTCATTGTGGTGAGCTGGGGTGTCTCCAAACAGTGAAAATTCAAAAGATAGGTACTTAAGTCTACCTATCTACTCAATTTTCCCTAAATTTCTGCTTCCCAATTCTCAAACTTTTCTTAAAAAGCCTGAAATAGGCAATATTAGCATACTCATCACGCAGTTTGTCGGCGGATTGATCAATCTCATCCCGAGGGGTCAACAACTCACGAAAAAACGTACAGTGATTTCCAGTTTCTGAGAATACTTCTCAAATTTGGACAGTATTTCCAAGTATTTCGCCGTACTTCCAAGTATTTCCAAATATTTCTATTTTTATTAGATATTTCCAAAGCATTTCCAAAAATTAAATTTTATTTCCAAGTTTTGTTAAGTACATATATCCTATTCACAATCTGTAGTTCAAAGGTACAGGTAAATTTATCACCTTTCCCTATCAAATAGCATTGAAAGGTGATAAATTTTACCTGTACCTTTGGACTACAGATTGTGAATAGATAATATTCCCCTAGGTATTTCCATGTCCTAGTTATTTCTTTTAATGTTCAACATATTTTTACACTAAACTAAACATAATATGTCAGCTGTAGGTATTAGGTAAGGGAAAATTGGGGTGAACAGTTTTTGACAGTTCTAAAAGCCAATTAGATTTTGTTATTTTTTGTCATGTGATACAAATCACCCGATCATTTATCAACATTATATTGAAAACAGCTTGGAAAACAGCCCTAGGGCACAGCATATACAAAAACAATCAGCAGGCTAACTCGAGTGACAGCCCATGTAAAGCCAGAGACACATCTATCATGCATTCTTCCGATCCGACTCCGATCATACAATCATGGTCCTTATTCTTGGAACACCGGAGCAGCGAAACACTCGTTCTCCTGGAAACCTGTCTCCTGTTCCAAGAATAAGGACCCTGATTGTATGATCGGAGTCGGATCGGAAGAATGCATGATAGATGTGTCCCGGGCTTAATAAAGGAATTCATGGTCGGGATGTCACTAGCGGCCATTTTGGGATACGAGACAGGTCCTGATTAACAATAATTTAGATTTTTTCTTTCGGGTCACAGAGTCGTAATATACAGAATATTAACTTCCTAGTTCAATATTTTATGATGGACTCTAGGATGGACTATTATAGTCATCAGAATAATTATTAGGTTTACTTTCAGTCTCAAACTCTTCTGCACTTCCATTTTTGAGATACGGGACTGACTTGATTCATCAGTGTCTTTTCCTGATAATGGCAGAGCCGATCCTAGCAGGTGTGCAGCGCGTGCCCCGCACGCGGGCGACCAAATCTAGGCGGCCGCCTATAGTTCTGTCATTCAAGGTTCAAGTAAAACTTTTTACGAATTTCTCAAAATAAAACTACCTAGGTACTTCTAGTAAAGAAATAAGCTGAACTTTAAAAAACTCCCGAAAAATTAAAATAAACTCCGATCTCCCGATAGCATAAATAGAAAGTTTAGTGCTCAGTCACTGTATAGGTTCACGCATAATGTTTTTACTCTTTACACATCCATCATTGGATCGCAAACTTTTTTATATTTCCCAAATACTTTTGCTTTGTTTTTTTAAAATGTTCATTTTTCTTCCCAATTCACCTAATTCTGCAAGAATAATTACTAACCGTCCAACAGAACTAGGTGAATACTGCCGCTACCAATTTTACCAACTTTTTTGGTACCAAAGACTTCCAAGTGCAGGTGGGTATGTTATGTAGGTAAGTATTACGACTAGGGACAGGGATGTCTTCGTTTTCCACTGGGACCTATTTTTTACTTACGTACCCAGGCCCTACTTAGTTTTACGATAGTATTTGTCAATATTGATCACCACTCACCCGCATTCAAACAACTCATAGAGAACAAATATGTTCCAAACAGGTTTTTTTTTAACTCGAAATACCCAAAAACTTTCATTTTGAGGCTCAAAATGAACGCTTTTGGGCGTGGCACCCACCACCGGCGCCTATGTATGGAGGGCTATGTCCCTATAAGGCGGCGAAATTGCTCTTTGCACGCGGGCAGCCGACACCCTAGGATTGGCCCTGGATAATGGTCTTTTCCTTGGTCTATTCTTTATATTTTCTCTTAAGGATTTTGCCTCAGATTTTGCAGATTCCTCAGATTTTTTTAATTTGTTGGTCTGTCATGTGTTTTTCTCGCTTGCGCACCTCTAACTCGTAATACTCTGTCACTTGACGACCCTTTTCATTAGAAAAGAACCAACAAAATTCACAACTACTTCCATGTATTTCCAAATTATTGCCATGTACTTCCAGATTATTTCCATGTACTTGTACATGTACAGGGTGCTGCAATTTGGAGTGTTTTAACAGGAAAAACACACTTCCCGACCAGAGGAAAATTGACAAAGATGTCATGGGATCGATTTTCGAGAAACGTCGATTGTCAAAAACCGTATCGCGATATCTTCAATGGTACCATTAATACAGGGCGATTTTCGATTTTCCCCTATTATGAAAAATGGCTATAAGTTTTTTATTTATCAATTTTTTTTATTTCTGTAAAAACATTATGGAGACACTTTTTTGAGCACAATCCAGTGGCGGACTCGTTTTTTTTCTATATCGCTCGGATTCCGAGATATTGACCAAATTCCGATATTTTCAAATGAAGCACCCTATATATTAATAGCTCATTGGATAGCTCTGTTTTTGCTGATTTCAATGATATAAAGTTCGATAGGTTTATCTCTAATAGTTTTCGAGAAAAAAAATTATTTCTGTTTTTGTCGTAAGGACCAATGTGTTAGAAAAGGATTTTATATGTGTAAGGAAAGTGAGAAAGGTCTCTGTTTTTGACAATCGACGTTTCTCGAAAATCGATCCCATGACATCTTTGTCAATTTTCCTCTATCTGGTCGGAAAGTGTGTTTTTCCTGTTAAAACACTCCAAATTGCAGCACCCTGTACATGTATTTCTAAGGATTTTCAAGTATTCTTAGGTATTCCCAGAGTATTCCTAGCAAAGTGTACAGTGTGCATTTAGGCAATCTTTCCGTTCTAAATTATCTACAAAAGCATAAGCTTTTACTTTATATCAGAGAATACCTAGGAAAACCCATTAAATCTGTGAGATAGTCGAATGATGGTTTTCTTCTCACAGATACTTCTGTTTTTTAGAAATTTTCCCTCAAATTTCTGAATTTTTTCGTCTCAATTTTTATCTATTCCTGGCTCTTGAATTGTTCCTTCTAAATATCTCTACATAAAAAAAATTCAAGTGCCTGGAATAGAAATAACATACTTAAGTCTACTTATCTACTCGATTTTCCCTAAATTTTTGCTTTTCAATTAGTTTTCTGTCTAAATTTTTGTCTATTGCCGGCTCTTGAATTGTTTATTTCTAAATATCTCTACACAAAGAAAATTCAAGAGTCTGGAATAGAAACAACATATAGGTACTTAAGTCTACTCATCTACTCCATTTTCCCTTAATGTCTTCCTTTCAATTCTCAAATATTTGTTTATTTCCGGCTCTCCAAGAGCTTCTTAAATATAGGAGCCGGTTTATTCACTTTCTAATAATCTGTCAGGTAATGCAATCTGACGGATAAAAACGCAATATGTAATCCCATTGGTCAACTAATTATCCTGTGACCAACAGGATTATAAATCTGTAAATTTATCTCGCAGATAGTTACCAGCAAGGTTATCTCAAGATGAATAAACCAGACCTAAGATAGAGAACATTGGATGTTAGCGAATACAATTTTTATACAAAAACAGATCTGCGAAAAAGTCGTCTGATCCAAATCCATTCAAATATTAAAAATGCTGGAGGATGTTTTCCAGCAAGTCTTTTTTCCTATTCCAACATCCCAAGCAGCAAAGGTTAGTCGTTATGACGTCAATTCTAAATAAATTAACGTCGATTAAGCAAAATTTGACGTCGGAAAGAGGTTGCAAAATATGACTTGTTTGGCACGTCACGTAGAAGACGTTTATTTGACCATGACATGAACCAACAGGTTCAAAAGTTAACATGTAAAACTCAATATGACCCATTCAGAAAAAATATCCTGTATTAAGACGTCTATGAAGCGTCCATTTGACGTCGCTGAATTGGACGTATATTTGGTCAGTGTGGATCGATTGAAAAGTTATATATCTATATAGTAATGAAAAAATGATAATTGTTTTGACCAGGGTAATGTAAACAAGCTATTGTACCTTTCTCCTATCTATTTTTATATTGGACATTCAGCAGTAGACTATTGTGGAGGAATAAGCTATTAAAAAAATTATTAATTACCTAAGCTATCATCCTAGCTACTGCCCTTCAAATTAAAATATTGGTAAGCTACTTCCAGTTGAGCATGTTTGGTATTAGACTTTAAGCATTTGCCTGTAGATGTTTTCAATAACTTCCTCTTGACAATTGAAGTTGCGTTTTGCTGATATCCAGGGCAACAAATCATGGTTTGATTAATTCTTTTTGGTAATTGGTGTCCTCCGGGGAGCCGTTCGCCATAATCGGTTAGGATCTCATTTGTTACACGATTATACTAATAGGGCCAGTATCTCAATAGCGAGTAACCCCTGGGTTGGTTTTAACTCCAAGGTTAACGTCTCAAATTGCAATGTTTACCCTGGAGTTAGCTTAACCCGAAGGTGACCTGCTATTAAGAAACCGGCCTCTAAAGGTAAGTGCAGCAGTGGGGCACCACTGAATACCGGCGAGAAATGGTTGAATTATGATTTGCTGTTGGGTGTCAGCTGCACAACATGGTTTCAAGTCCACTCAGCCTAATGGGGCTTTAATAGAATAGCTGAATGCTCTTCAACTTTTCCAGGCAAAATTATTTTTGTGTTTTCCGGATGAAGAGTCAAGTGATCATGTTTTATATTGTAGCTGAAATGCAATGATCGCGCCTCTGAAGAGGAATAAAAAACCTTTCAAAGGAGGTAGTTTTTCATTTTAGAAAAATATAGGCAATAAACACATTCTCCGATGTGTATTTAACACTTTTAATGCCAGAATTCTTTTGACTAGGTAGTATTGGAAATATGATTATTTTTAAACATCGATATGTCAAAAACTAATAGTATGATTTGAGATTTTGCTATAAGACTGTAAAAGGAAAGCAACAAGCTATCCAACGATGTGCAATACAAGCAGGTAGGTTCATAAAACTAAAACATTCATATGCAAATCTATTGAGATAGATAGGTATATAGAAACAATGGAAAAAAATCTCGAAAAAAATTTGACTGACGTGGCAGCAATGTGTTAATATACCTAGTAGGTTGACATAAATTGCCCAATTTTTCTTTGTTATCACTTAGATATGAAGCAATCGAAACTCAAAGATATGGCCTATGTGAAAGCCTACGCCTGTGGATATGCCATCCAAGACATAGACATCATATAAGATCAGATTTCGTTATAGCAATCCTACTGTCCTTAGTGACATCAGGCTTACTATTTGTATGCATTTATGGAATGGACTACTTTGCTTTACAAGCTGAAAGGCTGGGACTCGAACAAAACTGGATCAGATTCAGTTTAGCCACATTTTTGGCTATAATTTCGCTGGGGTACATTGTGTCAATATTCTTGTTGCTCAGAGATCATCTGGTGCCATGGTATGCTTGGTGGGTTAGAACTGTGAATATCCGTTTACAAATTCCTCATAGAAGGGACAATAATATACGTCCCGAAATTATATAAATACTATATACGATATTTACTTGAAAAATAAAATATTTCAGAAGCAACTTACAGAATCTTTGTCATCGTACAGGGTCAATACGCAATGGCATTTTGGACAATTATCTCCATTATTGACGGTCAACTTTCTGTTGCCAGCAAAAAATGTATTTTTAGCTATTTCTTCACCTATAGGTTCTATTATCATGCGATACTGGCGATTTATATAGGTTTTTTCCAGTTCAGAGAAACTGAAATATTGTTGCTTGTAAAATTTTACACAATAATATTTAGCAAAAAAAACCTACCTAACTTTATATAATTGAGATGAAGCAGTCTCATTGCCACATTTATAAGTCATAAAATTAGCCCCTTTTTCAGGTTTATAAAGTTCTTTTACTTGTTCACAATGGGGTATAGGGATTTTAGCTAAAACCTCCCCTGTCCTACCAGAAATAATTAGAAAATAAATCTGGAAGAGTTTAAATAATTAATAATCCTCAAACTAGTTTTTTTTCTAAATATACTTTTTCAAATACACTAACTAGTTCCTCAACACCATCATTATTCAAATCAGGCATTGTAACAGGCAAATCCAAATTCCTAACCCATTTTTTCTCTTCAGAAGAATGTGCATGCCATAAAGCTTGCCCGGATAATGTTTCTATAGCTTTCAGGCCCTGAAATAATCATTTGTAAAATTGCAAATGTAACTTCAAAAACTCACTTTGGGATCAACAACAAGACAATCCAAAGTCCCATCCTGATTGGTATCGATGATACTGCAGTCCATTTGGTCTGGTTCAACTTCTTGCTCGAAATCCCAAGCCACGTTACCAGTTAAACCCATAAACGATATAATACCATTTTTAAGGGGTTTAGGGCTGTTGAAGCTGCCTTTGTAAAGTATCGCCAAATTGAAGTTGGTTTTGTATACACCAGTGTCAAGGTGAATTGGTCCCTTTAACTCTAAGTTTTCTTGTTGAGAATCCCAATTTGATATTTTTATTGGGCAAGTGTGTAGTTCGGAACAGGGTAAAACCCAAAGGAAAATGCATATGGGTAGGAAACAAAGAATAATTGATGCTATAAATGCTATCTAAAAGGTAAGTAATGAAATTCCTTTATGGTAAAATGAATATTGAAGACTTACCTTACGAGTAGTAGACATTTTGCTGGCAACTCGTTTAATTTTAACAATATCCTCATCCATTCGTATACTATGCCCATTTTGCCTGTAGGTGTCCTCAAAATTATTTGTATTTTTGGAGTTATAGCTGGTACAAATGGGTTCCATACTGATTTCTTTTTCTGAGTCCGAATCGCTCAGTGATTGAGGCAAAGGGGAGTAGATTCCTTGCATGGAATGGGCCATTTTCATTCTGAAAATCCCCTTTGGCCACTCTAAGTTGAAAGTTTAGGTAATTTTACACATTTGAGAGGATATTGATTTTCTAGCTCCTTGGTGCATTTGTATTTGTTTTTGTTTTGAATTTTGACAGCCGGGACTGTTGTAATTTTTGACGTTAGTCCATTGTTGTAGTGATGTGGCGCCGGTGCTCAGACAATCGACTGTGATATCGCTTCATACTATCGATGCCAATCGATTGAAAAATATCGATGTTTTGAAACATGGATGTTCACTGTTGAGGACGAGGTTATGTGTCTGTGTTTACCTCGGTGCTCGGTGTTTACTTTTTGGTTTTGGTATTCTTAAAATTATAACAAATAATGGTTTAAATAAAAGTCAAATTTAACTTTAAAATAAACGATTCTTGAAATAAACAACGAAAATATTTTGAAGTGAAACTTCTTGTGGGACGTTGTGAATTGGATGTTATGAAATGAAAAAGTGTTAACAGAAGGTGAGAGAAACGATAGATTAATCATTATTAGCGCCCTCGCTCCGTGAAATTCGATCCTCCGATTCGATGAATCAAAGGGTTTGATCAAAACAATGAAGTACGTTCTGTTCGGCTATTGATGGCGCGCCCATGTTTCGATCATAATCGCTCTCGGAGCACTCTCGCAGAGATCCGTGACGTCACCGTCCAGACGGGGATCGCTCTCAAGGATAATACACACTACCAAGGATCACGGATAGTACACACCACTAAAGTTTGCTTATCGGGGACGTTTTTGGTGTGTAACATGTAACATGTTGCTGTTGGGCAAGGAGAATACACACTCTAAGGAGTGCTATAGGTGTGTCACCATTGCCGACGTTATAACTTAGTCGTCAGCTGTTTGAACAGCCTATGTCAAGGCGAGAAATAACATGCTGCCTACGTCACAACTGGTATTTTGGCTTGCGGCCTAGGGGGGGAAGGGGGGATTTGTTACACAGGTCTATCCTGTAGTAGTAGTGAGAAGGTCTGTTCCAACACGTCAAAAAACCGTACCATGGTTTCGAAACAACTCAGCATACGAATTTCGGTTTCTACGCACAAATTTTAGGTTTTGCGCAGAATCGTGACGGTACATTGTACGGTTTCCTGGTGTGTTGTTGGAAAAAAGCTTGTATCATCCTTGGCTGTTAGGAGCGTCGGACCCCCCCCCCCCCCAATGACACGAGATTTTTGTCCGACAGATGTGATATCGTTAATTTATATAAAAATCAATGTTTTTTTGCTTGCTTGCTTGCTTGCTTTGCTTGTTTGCGCTTTATGCGCTCCTACACCACTTATCCGATTACGATGAAACTTTGGTGGGTTGTTATGGCCATCCCAAGGAAGGTTTGTGGATAGGTTACGCATCTCGGAAAAAGAAATTAATTTTGAATTAATTATTAATTTAATTATAAACAAACTCATTCACATTACATAACCCAAATTTTTTTTGACAACATTAAACAACGTTGCCACATTTCATTTATTTAGGCTTGCCATTCAACCGACGTAACTTTATTATTTTTTGAATTTGAGAACGGCTGGAGCGATCCTAAATTTAATACCACGTATCTCTATATAAGCCGAACTCGATAGACCTAGATTAGATCGATTTGAGTTCAATTTAAGTGAACTTCTTCTGATCTAGATCATTTTTTTGTTGATGAGGGTACACTGATCCAAGCTCAATCGAACACAGTGTAGTTCACTTAAATTGAACCAGATCGATCTAATCCGGTCAATCGAATTCGGCTATAGAGGAGAGTGATAGGTATAGGCTATTTTTTATCCCAAAAAAAAAGTTCAGTTGCGCGAAACTCTGATACACATATTACATTAATTAAGGCCGGGGTTATCCAATTCCTTAATTCTTAATTTTCGTTCTTAATTCTTAATCCTTAAAAACCCCAATGTTAATGTTAAATTGAACTTTTTAAGAATTAAGAATTAAGGACAAATATTAAGAATTAAGGAATTGGGTAACTCGGGCCTAACATTCTAAAACAACTTTTTTTTAGATCTCGTTTTCATATTTTTCATCATAAATTTTAATTCTAAACTACAAGCTCTAGTGCAACCAGCTGATGACTTGTTGATGACGTCGAAAATGCTGACACATCAATATAGCGACGATTATCAAAAACGAGGCCGATACGATAAGCAATCCTTAGTAGTGTGTATTATCCTTGGATAATCTTTACCACTATTTTACTCTTTCAATCTATTTCATTTCTGGGTTGGGGTCAAGGTTCTTAAAGTTAATAGGTGGTCTGGTAATGGTAAACAGATGACGTCATCAGGAGGACCTATTTGTCTGGTTAAGGTCAACAGATGTCGTCATCAGGAGGACCTAATCACAGTGAGACCTAGGGCCGGTTTCTCAATAGCAGGTCATCTCCGGGTTAAGCTAACTCCAGGGTAAACATTGCAATTCAACACGTTAATCTTAGAGTTAAAACGAACCCGGGGGTGACTCGCTATTGAGAAACCGGCCCCTAGGGCCAGTGGCGTAACTACCGAGGGGGCAGAGGGGGCCGTGGCCCCCCGGGCCCAGAGGCTCCGGGGCCCCATCTGAGGTAGTAGTCGAATAACATATTGTCTTACGAAACCAGAGTGTAACCAAGAATATACGAAAATCATTTAAACTTTTGCTTACTCACCTATCTATTTACCAAGGATAATACACACTACTACTACAGGATAGCCGATCCTCATAAGGCCTGTGTGGAATAAATCTGAAGCCCCCCACCACGCCAAATCACCAGTTGTGACGTAGGCAGCATGTTTGTTTCTCGCCTTGACGTAGGCTGTTTGCACTACAGGTTATGATTCCGCAGGCTCTTGCTTTATGCATACTTGGTTTTATTACATTAAATAACAATCTAAAACAACTCTTTTTTAGATATCGTTTTCATCTCCCTCTTTGCCTATTACGTTAATCAAAATTAAATAATAATTTTGTTCATTTTAAATTCTACACTACGACGACTAGTGCAAACAGCTAACGACTTATTTATGACGTCGGAAATGGTGACACACCAATATGGCGGCGATCCTTGTCTATTTACTACCCAATTTTTTTTGAGAAATGTAGGTATTTCGCAAAAAGTAAAATCGCCCTCGGTAGTGTTAGTTGTTAGCGTGGAAGATGGTAGGCGGTTTTTGCAAAATAATTATTTCCGGACATTCAATTTTTAGTTTTACCAGCAGGGTAAATTTGCCAGAGATGTTGCCAGCCGGTCCATAATTCGGCTCTTAGACAAACAGAATATTGCATCGGTGTATCGTAATTGGGCCTCGCCAAACCACTCTGCCCCCAGGTCCAAAATATGAAGTAACGCCACTGCCTAGGGCATTTTTTTGCGACAAAGGCCAATTGTAAGCGATTGTCCAGTCGGTCTTCTTGACAGATAAGCAATGCATTTAACGTCAATTAAGACCAATTGGTTGACAAATTACACTTAATTAATTGTTTATCTGTCAAGATGACCGATCGGTCAATACATTTTTGGAAGTTTGCATTGCATTAAATTTATATTGCATTAAATAAGACCTTATCCACGGTATAATTAACTTTACAGAGCAAAAAACAAAACAAAGCAAAAACAGAAATATAACCCTAAAGGTCTGACAACTGTCAAAAATTGTATACCTACTCTAGGCGTTGTCTACATATTTTACACGTTGTCTACATAAATTACATAGTTTATATAGTCTACGCGTTGTTTACACCAGAACGTAGACAATCTTTATTTACGCATAGATGCCCATCCTGGTTTCAAACCATTTTCTTGAGACATTGACGTCACCTTGATTCCTGTTCAAAACGTTTTATAAAAGTTCCTAGGAGACCATTTCAATGAAGTAGTAAACTGTCAAAAAACGGGACTAAGGGCGGGTATTATAAAACTGCTTTGACAGTTAACTTGAAGTTAACTGAAGTTAACTTTTTGAATTACATGTAATTCCAGAAGTTAAGTTTAAGTTAACTCTCAAAGTAGTTTTATAATACCCGCCCTAAGGCGACGTTCCGTAAGTTAACCAAGATTCTTGGTTTTTCCGGTTCCCGTTCCGTAACCTAACCATTCCTGAAATCTGGTTAGGTTATGAAACGCGGTTCATGAAAAATTCGGTCCCAAATGTCAACCGAATCTACCGATCAAAAAGCTTGGTTTTTTCGGTTTGTTTTCAATTTCTGACATCTGTTTGTTAGGTTAGGTGATAATATTTTAATTTTTTAATTTTTTTCCGCTTTGAACATGTATTTGCGGTGAAAATGGGACAAGAGGTGAATACTACATTCATTCCTGACAATTGCTTATTACAAATATATTTTTAAGAGGATAATATTCTATCATCTAGCATCCAAGCCAAACCAAAGCTGAATCGAAGCGTTCCACACATAAACCGCATTTTCAGGAACCAGGAGCCTTATTCTGTAAGGAACGAAGCGTTCGATTCGGTAGAATTTTTTCGATTGTGACGTCATTTTCGGTTTGGTAGCGCGAAAACGAGCGAAAACTAAACCGAAAATGACGTCACAATCGAAGAAATTCTACCGAATCGAACGGTTGTTCCTTACAGAATAAGGCCGCAGAGTGTTACCATAGACGAACCGCTTCTTACCGATCGGTAACCATTCGGTAACTTTGGTTAAGATACGGAACGCCGCCTAAATTGAACAGTTGCCAAATTCGAGGGTTAGCATTATAGTTTTGAAACGTTGAATTTTTTTAATACATAAAATAGTGACGTCAGAGCTGAAACTGGAACTTAAACCATCTTTGAACCTGTTTCCTCGAAAAAAAAAATGCCCCTAACGGAGATTTGCATTATGTTTAAGCACCCCTGATGACGTCATAAAAGTTATCAGGCCACCGGTTGGGGTTTGCGAAATATCATTCAGATTAGGTCTGTGAGGTTTGCCCTGCTTTTAGCAATATACCGCGATGATTCAAGTTCAAAATTCGATTTGTCGATGTTTTGTGTAACTTCTGCCACCGATACTAAAATATCAAATATCGAAGGCAATAACATCGATATTCACGATAAATCGATGTTCAAGTCCCATCACCACATTGTTGCCGGTCGTGCGTATCGATTTACGAGAAATAGC